CCCTAAGACCCAGCTTCAACAGCTGGAAACGCACTATCGTAAATTATATGCTGCAGATGAGGATACCAGCATCCAGGGCCCCCAGCGGACGCCCATTCACATCGAAGTCACGGAGGCAGAAATGACCCTGGCACTTTCGCAATTGTCACCCCATAAAGCTACACCTCCGAATTTAGCCACAAACTCTCTATGGAGGCTGACCTCGGACATTGTCGCGCCTCTCTTGTGCCAATGGTGCCGGCAATGGCCTCATATACCAGAGCTATGGCGAAATGCATGGTTGACTCTTGTTCCTAAGATTCCGCGACCACTATCACCAAAGAATCTCAGACCAATAGGGCTAACTGAATCCAGCGGCCGCGCATATGCTTCCATACTACAGGCGAAATTGCGCCCCTATGCAGAGAGGTTCCTTGCGGATCAGGCACAATTTGCATATTTGCCGGGTCGCAATGCTGCCCAAGCCATACATCGGGTTGCTGCACACTGCAAGTATGTACAGGATCGCTGCTCGATTTCAACACCCACGGTTGTGGATCGTCACGCTCAACAGCCGAAACCCTGCCCACATTTTGCAGGTGCACAATTATCGCTGGACTTGTCCAGCGCTTTTGACCTTATGGACTGGCGCCTGCTGGACAAGGCTTTACTTGCATCCGAAGTTCCGGCTGAGTTAAGACACCAAATCATGTCCTGGCACTCCGAGATCTCCTATGTCCTTACCCACCTTGGGCACACTGCCAAGGTGGAGGCCCAAAGAGGACTTAGACAAGGGTGTAAACTGGCTCCGCTGCTCTGGAGACTTGCCCTGGCACAGATATATCGTGAGCTTCTTGCAGAGGGGGACTCGCTCCTCACAGCACCTTGGCTAGAGCAAAGCTCCACGATTTATGCAGATGATATACATCTCAAGGATACCATGCAGAACACTCGTGAGCTGGACGACATGGTGTATCGCTTCAGTAAGATCCTCGATGCTCTTGCTGCCCATGGTATGGTCATCAACTCGGCCAAATCAGCACTGTTGCTGAGACACAAGGGAAGCTTCATCACAGGCTGGCTGCGACGACATCTCAAACACACACCTGAGGGAGACCTACTTCGTTTTCGTAGCCCATTGGGAAAGGTGTATGAAATCCCGTTACGTGACCACCACACGTACTTAGGCATTCGCATCTCATATCATTCCCAGGCCAAACAAGCAGTCACCTATCGGCTACAGGCTGCGAACCAGGCATGGCAAAGACTTCGTGGTGTATTGTGCTCTACCAGGCACCTTGCTCAGACACATCGTCTCAGTCTATGGAAATCCACAGTGCTTCCCACGCTGCTCTATGGCATCGCGGCATCCAACCCAGGTGCCAAGGATATCCAGCGTATGCAGCAAATGATGACCAAGCAGGTCCGAGCCATCACTCGATCTTTTGCACATCTTCAGAAAGAATCCACACATGACCTCCTGCATAGATGCTCTCTGTCCACAATACTGGAGCATCTCCAGAGGGAAGCCGCAGCCTTGCATAGCAGCCTGATTAGTCTGAGTACTCAAACGAGTTTCGTGACCCAGGACCAGGTGGAAACAGCTCGAGACACTGCTGCTACGCTCCACCTACAAGTACAACGCCAATGGCAGGTACCTCAAGGTGACAAAGAGGGCATCACCGAACCTGCTGTACACCAGTGCCAGGAATGTCACCGGGTCTTTACTTCCTTTCGGCTTCTACGCTCTCACGAGGCTAAATGGCATGGACTTAAGACACCAGCTGCTGTCCCAGTGCCTTTTGATAGGTATGCTCATGGCACAGAAGGACTTCCAACGTGCAGACACTGTGCCCATCCCTTCCGACAATGGGATGGACTTGTCAAACACATCAAACGAAATCGGTGCCAGGTACTCCGTAGACTCGCGACACAATCTCCCGATGATGCCCAATCCTCGGTTCCGAGATCAATTGAATCCGGCCCTTTGCCAGTCCCTGCATTGGCCACTCTGCCCCCTCAGGTATCTTCTCAGGAGACCCACATTCTCCAGGAGGATAAAGCTGCTACACCTACTGCTACTCCCGACGAAATACCTGTACCCCCTGTCACAGACGTTCCAATGCAGGACAACTCCACCACACCGAGTCATGAGGCTGTTCCCCTTCATCAGCAATCTCATGTTCTTGATGTACTACGCACACGCAGGTGGACTGACCTCCTTGAGAAGCCGGAGATCCAATCGTATCTCCAGCACCATTGCCCGCTGTGTTATCAGTGGCTAGCCACTCCCACCAGCATCAAGTATCATCTTACCATGCAACATCCAGAGTGGAAAGACTGCCAACCTGCGACTCTCAAGCTCCTTACAGGTTTCCGCCGACACACTGTAGTCCCGTGTCGATACTGTCATCAGCGAAACATCAACAAAGATCGACATTGGAAACAGTGTCATGTTCTGCATATCTGTGCATTTCTAGCAGTGCATCATGACGCTTACCGCGGATCCCATGGAGCTGGACGAACAGGAGAGGCAATTTTGGGCCCAGGCTGGTCCGGTCAAGAGGGAACAGGAACCGCGAAGGGATATGCTGCAACCAGCAGAGCAATCCAAGAGGCAGCGCCTGGCACCGCAGGATCGGAACAAGGGCAAGGGCAAGGGTACCAAGGGCAAAGGCAAGGGAAAGCAGGGCCTACCAAGTCCACCAAGTGCACACCCGGCCATGGGTTACACAAATGGTTTCGGAAGCCATCCACCCAATCCCTGGACACAGACACAGGACTTGCAGCCACTGGGAAGTCAGGATCCCGAATGGATGGAGTACAGGATGAATCGACTGTCTCAGCTGGTCCTTCGTCAGGAGCAAATCATCTCAGCCATCCGTCAGGATCTGGTCCTCTACCTCTTTGTACGATCTGGACCAGAAGGGATGGTGCCAGTCCTATGCGATGCAGCGGAGAAGTGGAGGAAGATGAAAGAGGAAGAGCCCGAGAAGATCACTTACTCCCTCAAACTCATGCTGTTCAAGCAACTGCTCATCACCTTGCATCAGAGGTTGACCACTATGATCGCGGACGAGGATGCCCTTGCCAAAGCCAAGAACCTGAACTGGATCGACGATCAGAAACATTGGAAACATCTCACCTGGAATCCCTCCAAACAGTGTCTGGAAGTAGACAACTCAGTGAGGCCAATACCGGCGGAGGACCTGTTGGCCCAACTGGTTCAGATGAGGAAGGCTGTTACGGAGGAGACCCTGGTGAGATTCAAGTCCATGTGGAAGCTCACCACGGAGGTGACCTCCGACTGGATCCAATTCCAGATATGCTTGTCACTTCGTCCAGAGGGTGGAGCCATGTGGAGCACGCTGAACCAGTGGATCGGTCAAGCATCGTGGCACACACTGGGATGCAGGCTTCGTCGAGACCGACCGAACTACGACACCCTGGTCCAGGAAGTGTGGCAGCATCAGATGCCGTACTGAGTGTGCGCCCCAGTCTCAAGGCAGTTCTTCGATTGATCCTCCATAATCCATCGAATTTGTGCTACCTACACTCTACCATCTATGCCCTTTTGTGGACAATCCTTCAGGCCAGGCTACATGATGCATACATCTCGCCTCCACCGCAGGCTCTTACCATGCTGTGTCCACCAATCACTGATTCGTCCAATTGCCCCATTCAGGTGCTTCATTCGGTACCGTGGCTTATGCTGCTGCAAGCCTGGCCTTCTGTACATCGTCAGCATGATGCTGCAGAGTTGATACAATACCTCTTACCCAGGTTCTCGCATAGTGGGTTTAATGGTGGCTGGGAGGCCAGAAACTTTGCACCTGGAGGTATTGTTACTCTTGACACGGGGCCTACCCAAGCTCCAATTCCAATTGCGCTACCGGCAGGTCCAAGCTTGGAGCTTCAGGAAGCCATTGATGGGTGGAGTGCTCAGGTCACAGCCCGTTATGCACTGCTGACCCCGTCTTCGCTACTCTGCATACAACTTCAGCGATTCACGAATGCTGAGGGAGACATGCGCAGGGACACCAGACCAATGGCTATGGCCTCGACTACAGTTCGTATGCCACTCTTTGCAGGGCTGAGCACTATGCAAGTTCGATATGTTCACTATCAGGTCGTCGCTGTACAGCTTCACTATGGGGCCACTCCTGACATGGGGCATTACAGAACTATACTACGAGGGCAGCCGCTGTTTGGCGAAGAAAAATGGTGGATCACTGATGACTCCTGCACAGCCAAGTCAGTGGGCACAGAACATGATGGCAACATATATATAGTGTGGCTTCGTCAGGTACTTCCACCCGAAGCCTGATGCTGAGCAAGTGTAGTCTTAGTGGATGGAGCTGGCACTGCCCTCCAGAACCCATAAGAGGTTCCGATACCCCGAATACCGGGCTATCGTCAGCTCGCTAGGCGAATCTGGACACTTTCGCTGCGTGGTGAATCAATGACTACTACTACTACTACTACTACTACTACTACTACTACTACTGCTACTACTACTACTGCTATTACTTACTACGACTCCTCCTCCTGCTGTTGCTAGTACTACTACGACCACCACGACTACTACGACTACTACGACTACTACTACTACCACCACGACTACTGCGACGACGCTGTTACCTGTACAACTACTGTTGCCATTGGTATTTCAGCAACACGCTTGCACTCTTGTTACCGCTACAAGTACTTTACTTCTGCTAGTACTATTATGTACCATCACTATTGCAACAGCCCTTTACTTCTGCTATCGCAACTACCATGTCTGGTGCTTTTACTTTTGGTGTAACTTTTACTATTACTATTACTGTTGCTATAAGTGTTACTATTAGTGTTACTATTACTGTTACTGCTACTTCCTTGCTTGCTTGCTTGGCTGGCTGGCTGGGCTGGCTTGCTCGCTCGCTGGCTTGCTTCTTTGCAGGCTGATTGGAAAAACTACCAATCAAGTGAAAAAAGTGCGGAACAAACTTACACCGCAAGAGAACTGGTTGTGCCAACACCTTGAAGAAGCTGGCCATCTGCAACACCAGGGAAGATCTTTCAGAAACCTCTGCCAATGTCTGCATGACCATGAAGAACTTTCGTGAATGCGCCAAGGACAGAGCATCCACGTGAGTGGAGCGAACGAAAGCCGGCAGGTTGGCGTTCAGAAGCTCATGCAGCTGGAGCACCTGAGACACATGCACATGGCTCCGGGTGTCTAAGCCGACAGACCGGAAGGGCCGTGCCACCCCTGGAGCATGATGAGCTGCGTTTATGTAGAGCTTCGTTGCGGCCTGCAAGCTCAGCACTTAGACTCAGCCTTGACTCATCTGGCTCAACCAAAAACGTCCAGAAAGAGGCCACCACCCAAACACATCGCGTCTGTATCGAGGCGTCCAATGCCTTTCCATCCATCGATCAATAGACTTGCATATATCTGCATCCACGACAGAGAAGTCGGGCTGCACAAGGCCTGGATTCTCTTGCTCGTGAGGAGGCATCGCGCACCGTTAAGGAACTTTGCCTGCAACATTGCAGTTGACTGGAAATTTCCTTCCATGACAACCCCACATGCCTTCCCGAATTACAGACCAAGTGTTCTGAAACCTGCTGGTCAGAAGACTTCACGATCCACTGCCTCGGGCTCTTCCAGATCCGCGCAGTACTCTCCCAAAGTCCAGGCGCAGGCGCCAATCATCGCACTGGCCAATGTGGGGCAGTGCGAAGGGATTATGCGCATCCTCCCGCTCTCAAGCCACACCGCTGACCTAAGCAAGAAAATACCCACTGCTACACTTGGTTCACCGGCCATGAGACGAAGCCATGTAAGGCCATGAAGCCAAAAAGCCAAAAGAACGGAAACCAAATCACAATACAAGCGAGGGCCACTTGGACACAGGTCCAACGGAGGCTTTCTCGGTGCCTTCGATCTCTCCAGCCTCGCTCACTTCGGGAGTCCGGCACGCCCCGGAATGAAGAGACTGAGACAAACACCCACGAAGAATCCAGAAGGCTCAGAGCCAGCGTCACCTGGCGGCTGACTGCTGAGGCCTGCGAATGTCAGAAGCTCTCCGCAGCCAAGGTGCGGCGTACGGCCGCACCTTAGAGGAAGAATCAACTGTGAAAGTCGAGAAGCCACGGATACATCTGCCTGGGACAGCTTTGCCTGGGATCTGTACTTGAGGGACACGAACGCAGATGTCGACAAATTGCTCGGCAACGGTATCCGCGTGTGACGAATCAATGTTCCTTGCAGCATACCGACAGTACAGAAGCCAACGGTGGCAACAATGGCAACGGTTTGGCCTGCTGATCTCACCAAGAATCAGCAAGTACCACGCAAAGTCCTCAGAGAACGTGTGATGCGACCGCGGAGGACATGAAGCATCAGAGCATATCAGAGCCGTGCCTCCACAAGTGCATAGCGATCTCTCACGCCCATACGAAGTATGGTTCCGATGAACTCGTCGTTGAGGGCAGATTTCCTCTGCTAAGAGCTGCCAACATCATCTATGGAGACTGCTGGTTGATGCATGTCAACCTGGCCTGCTGAATTCGAGGAGTCGCTGCACGGCCTGTGGGCAAGATCACGTGAGCCATCTGCCAAGAAGCCTTATGCGCAGCCAGGGAGCCTCCTGAAAATTTGATGGATGAACAATCTTGTCCAGCAGCAGGAGCCTTGCAGAAGCCATGCCAACCCTTCACAAGGCACAAACGAAACCTCTTCAGGATGTCAAGTATCAGGCGCAATGTGCCGAGCTGTCACATCGGATTCCTTCATGGGACATGAAGATGACATGCTATGCTGGGGAAAACGACAATCTCACCTCGATGGAGGTGAGGACCTTGTCGTGCAAGTCGCTGACAGGCGCTTTGTCCTGCATGCGTGTTGGAACAATACCGACGGCTGGGACCATGCTCTCCTACGCTACCTTACCAGTACTTCTTCAGCACTGGCAGCCTTGAACTTTTCGATAACCTCCTTGAACAAGGACAATGCAAGGTACCTCGCAGGTGCATGTGTGCATCCATGGTTTGTGGAATCACGTGAAGCTGTCATTCATAAAGGGCTCTATTCCCGGAATTTACGCGGAAAGCAAGCTGCAAGGCCGCTATCGGAACCTAAGGGAGTCGACAGGTCGCTTCCCTTCGTTCGCTGAACGAAAGTCTCTCGCAGCTTTGGAGTCGAGCAGGGGTTCTTTCGGGGGAGTTCATGCATCTCATCGAAGGGAGGACTGGCCTCTGGTGGAAGCACCAGCCTTAAAAGCAGGTAAACACAAGCTGACACAATGCCGACGAGGCCTTAAGTTGCGATCGGAGGAGTTCAGAAATGCCTTCAACAAACAGTGTTCGATTTGCGCCGGCTTGCAGCAAACTCCGGTCCAGCCTGGAGCTTCTCTATGGCCAAGGCAACAATTGCCGTACCTTCCCGAAGTCGCCAACAGGCTTGCACAGCCGCATCGTCGGTGATTGGCTCAGACTAAAACTTGGTGCAACGAAAGATTACGAAGCGACACTGGCGATTATCCAGTCAGCTTTCACCGGCCTTCAGACATGGACCGGACCACACAGCGAATGGCCTCGAATTCCACGCTTTGGGCCTCCGAGCAGCCAGCGAAGTGCACAAGTGCGACCGAATGTGGCAGGGTGAAGATGGCCTTCGTGGTATTGAGAATGTTTGTCAGCGGCCTGAGCCAAGTTCAGAAACCGTGGACTCCTCCATTCTGCTGTGAGTGAGGAGTGCGGAGTCTGCGGGAGTGGGGAGGGAGTGGGGAACGAGGAGCGAGGAGTAAGCGAGCGTGGGGAGCGAGGAGTGGGGAGCAGTGAGCAGGAGCGAGTAGTGAGCTTGAGGCTCAAGCAAGGGCATCATGTCAGACATGAACGGCTCTGCTCTTCAGCCGAGTTCTTGAGGAAAGTGCTCCACCAACTTGGCTGGAAGACGAGGCTCCAGGGGTGAAAGCAGCTGAAACACCTCAATCACTCACAGCTAGAATGCAGTGCCCCTGCTGCGTCGACAGTTTCAATTCGAAAGAAGCAAGAAGCCTTCAGCAGCTTGATTGAGAGCCAGTTATTGGACGTGTTGACCTGGCATTTGCTGCATGGTCGCTACGCGTGGGCTGTGCTGAACTCCGAACACAAGCCGTGAAAAGCCTTGATATCTGCCCAGACTTTGAAGCAACAACCGATTGCGCACAAAGAGTTGCAAGAGACCTTAACCCTCGGGGTTTTGCATAGAAAAAGCCATGCAGTTGTCTGTAACCTTGGCAGCGTGAATGAGCTCCGACGCTCATTTTCCAAGCCCAGCCTCGATCCCCACAGGCCTATGCTGTGCAACCGACTTCTGACGCGTCACAGCTCAACATGATCTACGTGTGTTTGCTTGCAGTCGGCAGCTTGGAAATTCAAATCAATCCCAGGAGTTACACACTCCTCGTTCATGCATAGCAAGAAGCAGTGCGAACAACACGAATGAAATGGTTTCATGGTGCCAGGATGGCCAGAACGTGGTACAGCTGCGGAACCAGCGACAAGTAGTTCCTGGCACGAGATCAGCTGCACTGATCCTCGCGGAAAAATACCGGGATGCCTTGCATTCTTCCTCGCCAGCTCTAGGAAGGTGTTGACGGTTGCCGTAAGCACACCCTGCCACATCGACATAGAAGCAGCGAGAACCGAGCTGTCGTTCCTGCTATCATGCGGGGCACCTGGTCTTCGTCATGCAAGCGCTCCTCAACTCCCATGCTAACGGCTCGCTGGCAAAGCATGCTTGCAACATTTTCGGTCCTTCAGCTTGGGAAAGCAAGTTCGCAGGGCTGGAGGGTCCTGACAAGAAAACCCAGTAAGGCATGAGAGTTCGAGCAGCCAGGAGCTACAACGGGAGAAAGTAGCAGGAAGATGTTTCACAGAACTCGTCAAAACTCGCTGAGCCTTAAGGAAGATCCTGTAGAGACAAAGCACGGTCTTCCTCAGCTCTCTGTGTCCGGTCGCCCAGAAAGCACGGCGGAGAGCGGTGCCCAGTGTCCACCAAGCATCTTTCTCAGATATGCACGAGACGAGCTCAACCTGATACGAGAGCATTGCTGGAGGCTCACGTGCACAACAAGTGTGACAAAGGTCAAAGCAAAGACAGCAGGTCGGTGATGATGTCCCTGGAAATCTGGCAGACAAGGTGCAGCAAAAAGGCTGCAGACTCTGAGAGAAAAGGCGCACCTCTGAGGAGCAGATATTGCTCAAGCAATTGATCGCCATCCCAGTCTGATACTCGCTTTTGGAACCGAAGTCCTTGCGTGTTTTGCATGTTCTCTAGCTCCTCTTCAAGAGCCCGACGAGCACAAGAGAGCCTTCTTGAAAAGATTGATGGTCAGCAGTCCCACGTCGGTTTGCTCAGTGAAGGTTATGCTGGATGCCAGGTACCTCAGCTGACACGTTTTTTGACCAGCCAGCTGAAGGACTCTCCATGAGACGCCGACCCCGGGCGCTTAGTTGCAAAACGGCTGGTGCTCATCACCTGTCAGCAAGTTGCATCGCCGAACCAAGAACAGCATCTGCCCGGCCTCCACCACAGCAAACGTGGCCCAGCCCATGTCGTAGCCCAGCATGTTTAGGTAGGCAAGCTGACAAAGGGCGGAACTGCATACAGGAACACTAGAGTCGAGCTCGACCGCCTTCAGGACAGCCATGGACTTGGTCGCCATGTTTTTGGAGGTAACCTGGCCAATGCAAGCCCAGTCTGCAATGGAGCGCGAACTCGAACCTACGAGTAGCGTGCAGACGGTTTGATGACAAAAGCAACACAAGCATTGCAGGTCAGATTTCAGTCCTGACGGCCTATCTGGGGATGGGAGTGCTAACTCCATGCTTGCGAGGAAGCTGCTTGAACGCGAATTCTGTGCGACCCATCTTCACTGCCCAGAAAGCTCGATGTCAACCTGCTGCTAGCCTCGTTCTTGATCTCGGTGATACAGGTGTTGATGTATTCCTGCAGCACCACCCGCAACCCCAGATGCAACCGTTGTCAATCACTGATCAAACAGGCCAGCAGTCCGACTCTTTTCCACGGTGGGCACGGATGCCCTTCACCATGGCAGTCAGCGACTTTTCGAACACCTGACACTTGCAAGAATGTGACTTCTCTGCATAGAGACCAGGATGGGCAGGGCATCGTTCAAAAAGCATAAGTCGGCAGCCATGACTCGCCCAACGACAGAGCTACTGTCCCACGGGAGACGCGTCCTCTGTCCATTCGTCTTCGTCCATAAATCACTCACGGCATCCTCCAAGGCGTCCGTGCCTTGACTTCAAAGCTCAAGACGGAGCGGGAGCGTTCGGCCGCCATCTGATCCTTTCATTCTTCTATTCTTCTATATGTACCAAGATGTACGCCTTGGCGGTCGCTCCCTGGCTTATGACACGCACGCACACACACGCTTCTTGCTTCTTGCTTCTATTCGCTGTCACCTAACCCAAAATTCATGTCTACACCACACGGTGAGAGACTTTCCTTTGTGCTTATGTCAGAAACAACTGGAGTACAGTAAGCATTCCTGCAGATGCTCCAAACACATTGCAGAATATCGCGTCTGCCGTCAGAGATGAACGTGCAACACTACCAGCACGGTGCAGTCACTGCGCAGAACTTCTTCGACACTTTGGCCAAGAGCTTCAGGTCGCCTATTGGGGTGAGACTTCTGCACACGGCAACACGGATTGCTGCTGTTGTTTTACGGCGAAATGCTGTTGCAAAGCACGTGACTGGCAGATGAAGCAAGAGAGACGACGACGACGACGACAACGACGACCATGATGATGATAATTATTCTCTGAGTGAGTATGACACTCTGGGGGTCAAAGGCTTTGACAAAACATCACGTGGACACGGGAAGCACGAACGCGCCAACCCATTCTCTCAGAGAGTGCTCACCTCGATGACCTACAACAAGAAAGAGCCAATCTCAATGCCACCCTGCTTCATACACGCGACACTCGTGTCGGTACTGCTTGCAACACCGGGTCAAGCCTCGCGACAACGACAGTATCTGCCCGGCCTCTTCGTCGGCTGGCAGGATCCTGTAACTCCCACCAGTGAGACATTAGGCACCGTGTGCGACGACTTTTGGCAAAGGAAGGCGATCTCGGATAACAGCACTATTTGCCGTCAGAAAAAGTAAACTTTAAGTCTGCGGCTCTGGCTGCTGCGAAGGGCTCTGCGCCAGAAGCTTGGCAGCCGGGTTGAGCGAAGATGGCTCTGTCGGCTCCTGTCAGGAAACCCCTTCGCTTGAGAAACCTTGGCCTTGGACCGTGACTCTCCCTGGAAGGTCCCTATGCTCCCTCCTCCCACTTGATGGGTCTGTCCAGCTGCCAGGTGCCACGACGTGTGAAACCCTGGCAGGGCCAACAAGCGACACTGCTTCCGCCCGAAAGGAACGCTGGTTTCGTTTCTGGCCTTCGCATTGGTGTAGGTTCCAATTCCATGCCGCTTGCCGGCTACCTCACAGAATGATCATGAAGGAAGGAGCCTGATTCTCTATTCAGGAATGGAGGTGCAGGATTTTGCTCGTGATTCCTTTGCATGTAGCGCTTCTTATCGCGATCTAGTTTCCTTTCACATGCGGGACCCAGCAAGCACCAAGCATGCCAAGGCACTTCATCCTGTTGAGTGTAGTCTGTTTCTCATGTCTGTTAGAAGCCCTGGGTGGCGTTCGACAAACGCCGTCTCAATCTCTGTCCAAGCCAAGTGGGACTTGTCGCAACTAGTCGACTGCGACATGTTGTTCGCAAACAAGCTGACGACTGGACCATACCTGAATGACGACTCACAGAACTTGAATGGCAGATGTTGATTTGTCACCACCTTGCACCGGGCTGATTATTGCCATAGTCAGTTACATGGTGAGTGTGTCAGGTAGCGTCTTCACGCATCATATCAAGAGAAATCCTTTGTTGTCCTTCGGGTTGTGAACATTACAGGTATACCGTATATCATAGTGCGTCCAGTGTGCATGCAGGGTCCTGAAACCTGTGCCTGTACATGCTTCTTGCCTGGGAAATCCTTAGCCATGGTCTTGTTGCGGCGACATGCTGATAACAGAGGGTCACTTTCAAGAAATGGGAAGGCCTTACTCACAACTCACCACCTGCCCTGCCATGGAAACCCAACCCTGTAAAACATAGCTTCTTAATCCGTGATCGACAGATGCATGTACTGAAAAGGATTTGACGGTATTGGGGGTGCATTCCTCCAGGTCCAGGCTGAGAGCCCGGCATCCAGGCCCCTTTCCCGAAAAGCAGGGTGGGGGGGTGGGGGGTGCAAAAAAAATTCATTTATTGTCTGGTTCTATCTGTTTTTTCGACCCGCCCCTCCCCCTGCCCCTGAGTCCGCACGCCCGCTGTCCTACGACAGCCTCCTTCTCCCCGGCGATGCCTCAGATTTGATGAGCTCCGGGACCAAGCTCCCACAATGGGTGGACCGGCCCATACTTTCGTTTATTGATGCATGTCCGGACGTATGTGCATATGCAGATACCTGTATACATGTATATGTGTGTATGTATGTGTATATACATATATATATATATATGTATGTGTATATGTGTGTGTAGCGACACATGTATAGGTTCATTCTCACAGATATGTGTAGAGGGAGAGGAAGTGTGGCGACAAAGTGGGCGAGAGCGGGAGTACGACAGAATGTATGCCGGTATCATTCGAGTGTTTTTCTGCTCCTTCTATGTATTGTTAAGACAACCAAGATAGATCAAGAGATTACTCCAAGAAGTCCACACTCCACTATTTGATGATGCTGTGGGTGACGAAGCCCACCCAAACCTTTCACCTTCAACAAGGTTCGGGTAAGATGCGTAGATAGATGGCAAATCGTCACAACCAGGGATTTCTGGCCTCCCAAAACCATGAGCCTTGGCAAAAGCGATGCCACAAAAGAAAGAGTCGGCAAGGAACACCAGTTCCCCAAAGCCCATAGCCCCAACAGGGGTGAGTGGTGTGCCGCCCATCATCTCCTTTGGGGGTTTGGGTTTGACCCACACAACTTACCCGGCAATCCGTCGGGTTCTGGAGGCCCGGTCACCTTTTGTAGGGTTTGGTGCTTATGGTGGTTTACTGGGCAGCAATCCCCTTACTAGTAATATTATGCTCCAACACTGATCTTTCCTACTAGGCCTATGGGGTTTGGGGGACCGGTATTCAGAAGCACCTATCTCTTTCATAGCATCGGCTTTGCCAGATCTAGGATTGAAGATCTGCCATGATCTGCCACTCGCCTAATGTTCTCCTTGGCTTAGCAGTACCCAAAATTCGGTTGTGCATTTCGCGGACCATGTCATCCCTTCAAGGGTTTGGAGGCTGGCTACCCATCCAATCAGGATATGTTGTAGAAAAGATCTGCTTCGGATTCGAGATTTGCGGATATAGGATGCTGGTACTGTACCCGGCTTTACCCTGACAAAGCAGGACCGTAGAACAAAGCTGCAGCACGGCAGTCAGAAGCAAAGTAGCAAGTGGTATGAAACAGAGACTTGAGGCTGACCGTCCAAAGAGGGGCCCGCTGGCAAACCCGAAACCCTAAAACGAGTTGTTGGGTGGGACGCCCGCTGGCAACCAAAGCCAAAAATTCCCCCTCCAAAAAGCAAACCTAAAAGGAGATGTTGGGTAGAAAGCCCTTACCCCCGAAAGGATGGCTTGGTTGGAAATAAGGAAATGTTTGCTGGCAAGCCCCAGACCCTAAAACGAGTTGTTGGGTGGGACGCCCGCTGGCTGCCAAAGCCCAAAACCCCAGAAGGAGGTTTGGGTGGGACAAACCCAAAAAGAAGATGTTGGGTAGAAAGCCCTTACCCCTAAAAGGATGTCTTGGTTGTGAATAAGGAAATATTTGCTGGCAAGCCCTAAACCCTAAAACGAGTTGTTGGGCGGGACGCACGCTGGCTGCCAAAGCCCAAAACTCCAGAAGGAGGTCTGGGTGGGAAGCCCTGAACCCGCAACAAAAACCCACAGGCTTTCCCTCCAAACGGCAAACCTAAAAGGAGATGTTGGGCAGAAAGCGCTTACCCCTAAAAGGATGTTTTGGTTGGGAATAAGGAAATGTTTGCTGGCAAGCCCTAAACCCTAAAACGAGATGTTGGGTCGGACGCCCGCTGGCTGCCAAGCCAAAAAAAACCCTCAACAAAACCCACAGGCTTTCCCTCCAAAAAGCAAACCCAAAAGAAGATGTTGGGTAGAAAGCCCTTTCCCCTAAAAAGGATGTGGAAATGCTTGTTGGCAAGCCCTAAACCCTAAAACGAGTTGTCAGGTGGGACGCCCGCTGGCTGCCAAAGCCCAAAACCCCAGAAGGAGATTTGGGTGGGAAGCCCTGAACCCTCAACAAAACCCACCCACAGGCTTTCCCTCCAAACGGCAAACCTAAAAGGAGATGTTGGGTAGAAAGCCCTTACCCCTAAAAGGATGTCTTGGTTGGGAATAAGGAAATGTTTGCTGGCAAGCCCTAAACCCTAAAACGAGTTGTTTGGGTGGGACGCCCGCTGGCTGCCAAAGCCCAAAACCCCAGAAGGAGGTTTGGGTGGGAAGCCCTGAACCCTCAACAAAACCCACAGGCTTTCCCTCCAAAAAGCAAACCCAAAAGAAGATGTTGGGTAGAAAGCCCTTTCCCCTAAAAAGGATGTGGAAATGCTTGTTGGCAAGCCCTAAACCCTAAAACGAGTTGTCAGGTGGGACGCCCGCTGGCTGCCAAAGCCCAAAACCCCAGAAGGAGATTTGGGTGGGAAGCCCTGAACCCTCAACAAAACCCACCCACAGGCTTTCCCTCCAAACGGCAAACCTAAAAGGAGATGTTGGGTAGAAAGCCCTTACCCCCAAAAGGATTGGTTGGGAATAAGGAAATGTTTGATGGCAAGCCCTAAACCCTAAAACGAGTTCTTGGGTGGGACGCCCGCTGGCTGCCAAACCACAAAAAATCCAGAAGGTTTGGCTGGGAAGCCCTGAACCCTCAACAAGACGCTCTACAGGCTTTCGGAGGCGACGAAATAGTTGGCCGGTGCTAACTAAACAGGACCCTGTGGGCGACCCTAAACGCGTAAAACGCCGCGTGTGCCTTAGACGAACGCGAGTGCCTTGGAGGCCCTTGGCATATTGCGTTGGAGCGCATGCAAGCTGCAACATGGAAGAGCGAAAGCCACACGAACAAATTGTGTTATGTCCGCCCATTGTCTTCTGGTTAGGCCAAGCGTCTAGAGTGTAATTTGGTATGCACGATCGTGACGGAACAAAACACAGGTCCGTTATCTAGCGAGACAGAACGGCAACCGGAGCCTGGACTTGGCTCCACCTGTTGTTTTGGGCAGCTCTGAGCGACGTCTCTTTGTTGTTCCTGACCGATCGCTGAGGCTCCGTAGTTTGTGCTGAACGGCTAACACCGGCAAAGCCTGTGCGCTGCAGCCCTTTGTTGAGCTTCGCTTTGCTGTTTCACCGCTTTGTTGTTGTTGTAGAGACGCAAACATCCTTCCAATCTCGCCTCCTGATTCGCCATAGCTTCGCACCGTCACAGTGGCAAGGACAAGCGAGCATGCGCAAGCGAAACGCGAATGTCCGACTCGCCTTGCCGCTCTGTTAGGGTTCAGTCTCATCGGGTCTTCTGCAGCTGAGGCATCAACGGCCAGAGAAAATGGGGCATGAAAACTCACCAGTAGATCTGAAGCTCGATACACCTTGGAACTCCAAGCTTCAAGCCCACTGTCCTTCGTATCTTCGGCCATCCTGGCATCTGTAAATCATCCGCTCCCTTGAAGTAGAAACACTTCACAGAACCACCTGCCACGAGAAGGTACCCTCCCCGTGCTTTCTGTCCTGCACATCAAACTCTTGAAACAGGTGAAGTCACGCGACAGATCACACCAGCCTCTGAATACTGTCCGATGTATCGGCGACCATCCGGCCATTGCATGACCTCGTCTGCTCACGAAACAAACCCGCACGAACGAGCAACCAGCAATGCCTTCAGCACAAAGTCTACTTCGAAGTATCTTGGCAGGCAGCCGCTGCACCATGGAACTGCCCCTGCTGGAACCTGATACATGTAACACATGTATCATGTTTGCTGAGCAGCAGTGACGACCGCGACCGCTGCCCTCCGTGGCAAGGCTGGGAGAGCTGCCCCCCTTCGTATCGCCGGCCATCATCCCACGACAGGATACCGATCCTGCCAAACTCCCTGTGTCCTCGCAAGATCCGAATCCTCATCGGCAAACGTGGCAGGGAACCCGTGTTTCAGATCGTTCTGAAACTCGCCCTTCCAGCAGGAGGCGCGACTGTGCAGGCACGAGGCAACTGGGAGAACGCTCGACTGAAGCCTCGTAAACGTAGTTGGGCATTTTCAAGCGCCCTCGCCCGTGCCTTCAACGAGCAAGCCGCATTAAAACAAAACTGACAAAGCCGCTTGCTGGGAAGCTGGCTTCATGGTTCCAAGGTAGGTGCCGTCGTAGTGCATTTCACCTTCGCGCCTGCCCTGAAACAGGACATGCACCGAAGTGGAAGGACGTTGTCACGTGCACGTCTTCTTCCGTGTCACAGGGCAAAACACCGCCTCGTCCAGACCTGGAGCCTTGAAATCCTTTCGGGGAGTGGGTCCTCGTGTTGCGGATGTACGAAGGTCTTTTGGCTGCCTATGGCTACAAGAAGCTTCGGCACGGAAGTTGTGCAAGGTCCTGGGGTCCGAAACTCACCACCGACCTGCTCCCGTGGAGTTGCCATCGTCGAGACCTCTAAAGGGACCGTCGAGCGCTTCCGCGGCCGAATCTGAACCCCGTCTCCTCGTCAAAACGAGGCGACTCCTTGGGCAAAGCCTTGCTCTTGTCGTACACCTCCAGCACCAGCCACCAGCACGAAAGGACACACGCGAAAGCTACGCATCCGACGCAGACCTGAAACCAATTTGGTACAGGTGGCACGTTGGCAGGATCCCCCTGCGCAGAACACTGCGTGCGTGGCATCAAACCGTCGGAGCTTAGCGAAGCTTGCCTTGCCGGACCAGCTGGATTTGGAACCAGACGAAGTATTGCCTTGCCTGGGAGCATGTCGCAAAAATTCTCTGAACTTCGTGGTGGCAGCCGAGAAGAACATCCACGCGCAAGGCAATTGCGGTGGGAGCAACTCCCACGGCAGGCGTGCAAGACACTGTAAGCCGAGTTCTGAAAGAAAATCTGCTGACCGCCATTGACCTGAGGGACTAAAATTGGAAGCAAGCTGGCAAGTCAGCTTGGAAAACGGTTGGAATGCAAGTCATCTATGTCAAAGTTGACACTGGGCACAATACCGGCAGCTCGATGTTCGAATCTGCAGGCTCTGCAGAATCCTGGTACTTGCGACAGCGTTGAATTGCAAATTTGAGGCCTGTCGCAACGTTTGCTTCCTTTTTGCTGCTTTCACTCCACCAATCCGTGCTAAGCGTTATGACCAGACAGTATGCCTGCCCGTTTGCTCCGACCCGCTCGATGGAAACCTGGGACGATGCACTCGACGACAAGCTTGCAGTTCGCTCAATGAACAAAGGAGCAAAATTGTTTGTGGACATCGACGGTACACACAAACGACGTATTGTGTTTACCTCAACATGCATCCTGGGTCCTAGGAAGCAATGCAATCCCACCACATGCTGCTGGCCTGGGAAGTAGCGTTGGCGGTCCCAGGACAAAGAAGTGGTACCAGTTTAACCTTCCATGTGGTCGCAAATGTGGCAATATGGCTGCGGTAGTACCCCAACTACATTTGCTTGCCCACGAGATTCGCGGCTGTGTCCAAGTTTCCGGCCAAGGGCTGCTCGGCATCATCTGTGCGAGCCCAATCACGCATACACGTGCTGCCTCAAGGGCCGAGCTGGTACAAAATATCCACGATTGCTGCACGAATCGCTGCTGTTGCTCTCAGCTGAGCTGCTCTGCATTTTCCAGCATTGCCACACAATATATGCATGCACACTTCACGCAGAAGGACAGAGCTGCATGCACATGCGGGCAATCTGTCTGGATGCAGGCGAGACACCGAAGTTTCCCATGACGATGGGGCCGCGCTTCTACCAGTCTACGTGGACGCACACGGAAGTTGAGGTTACGACTGTCTAAGCCCTTTAGGCATGAAGGGTCACCTGTTCCCGCAAAGCATACACCATTGAATCTCAAGATTTACACAAAGGTTCGTTGATTCATCGATTCGTCAGCGTTGCTTCGATGTCTTGCACACATGAAATGCTCGCGGGAAAGGTGTGTGGCAGCCTGGCAGCCAAGCTTGGGAAAGCCTCCAATATCATGTTCTTGATGTTTCAAACGAAAGTACACGCCGCCATCAACGAAAAACTGACAATGATGCCAGACCTACCAAACCTGCGAAGAGGAAAGAACGTCTAAAACTCGCTCATTGAGTCTAAGGTTGCAAGCAAATGGTGTACAATACGACATCAATGATCAACATGAAAACCAAAACAAGTTCGTTCCTTTCGCTGAAAACATATTTTCATGCCATATTCCCCGGAGCACAACGGAATTCATGTGCGGATTGCATTCCCCTTTCAGAGGAAACACTGACAACCATGACAAACGACAATGCAAATGCAGATGAATCCAACCAAGACAAGTTGCGGGAAGGAGAAGTAACCTCGAACATTATCTTATCATGCATCCAACCATCCATTCAACCACTCGCGCTTGCCATTCACCCACGCATCCTGTTTACCTTCCCACACACGCCAGTTTGAGTCCTCCGTGGTCATCCTCTCCATCACTGCACAAACAGAAAAAAGTGATCAGTTCAGTTGTCAAATGAGCTCGCAACTTTTTCAAGAAGATCATCTTTGGAACTTTTTGCAAAAAGAATTTATGAAATATTATGAAATCAAAACAAAAAATGAACATCAATCCAACGGCGTTTCAAGCACTGCTCAGAGAAAATCGTCACCATGCGTCTCTTCGACGGAACGATTGAATCTGCGATTGGCCACTGGAAATACAGAAAAAAGCTTGGCTTCAAGCAGGCGAGTCGTCGAACACCCGGAAGCAAAGACAAACAGGTGCAGCTTTGAAAGGCGGGAAGCAACTCCAATTGGTCGTTGATGAGCGGCAAGCGCCTGGCTCCATGCAACGTTCACTCTCGAGGCAAATTCTCCACTCCGCCAAACAAGTGGCCAGAGCCATGACATGTAGAGTCGAAGAGTGCGGGACCTTGTCGATAGCTGTTCGCTGAGAAGCTCGATAAGAAGGCGCAAGCAAGACCCGACATCTGTCTGGAAGCCTAACCTGCAAGAGAATTCTGGTGGCGAGAAGCACCAATCGCAGCTCTCTCAAAATCTTGGACTGCCCTGTACCTTCCAAACGAAAGTCGAAGAAGGTTCCCTTCAAGGTCTCTTCCTCAAGTTTCCTTCAGCCTTTCTTCAAACCAATCGGGCCTGCCTTGAAGCCCTCCTAGGTTTAACCGGGTTTCAAGTACAACTGGAAAGCAGAGCATCTAGTGGCTGTGGCAGCTAGGTGCTTTGCAGTGGGTTTAACCTGGGTTTGAACCTGGGTTTGAACCTGGGTTTGAACCTGGGTTAAACCTGGGTTCGAACCTGGTTTCAACCCTGGGTCAAACCCAGGCTTAAACCCAGGTTTTTACGCAGGTTTGAACCCAGGTTTGAAACCCAGGTTCTAACCCAGGTTTGGAACCCGGGTTTATTGAACTTGAAACCCAGGTTCTAACCTAGGTTTGGTGCCCGGGTTCAATGAACCCAGGTTTAACCCAGGTTTAAACCCAGGTTCAAAACCGGTTTGAAACCCCAGGTTCTAATTCAGGTTAGAAACCCGGGTTTAATGAACCCAGGTTCAAACCCAGGTTAAAGCCAGGCTCTAACCCTGGGTTTAAACCCAAATTTAAAAACCCAGATTTTTGCCCAGGTTTTAACCCTTTTTTTGGCATGGGCGGGCCTTGTCGACTACGGCTGTAGCACTCGGTCCCTACAAACAAGACCAAACCAACAAACAAACAAACAAAGACAGCGGTGAAACAGGGCGGTTCGTTAAAGAGAGGCAAAAGGCTAGCTGCGGCGCACAGGCTTTGCCGGTGTTGGCCGTTCAGCACGAGCTACGGGGCCTTAGCGACCGATCTACAACAGCAAAAGGCCGTCGCCTACAGCTGTCCAGGCCCCCGGTGGAGCCCAAAGTCGAAGCTCCGGCCGCCGTTCTAGTTCCGTCGAACAACGGACGGCCCCGGGGTCCTGTTGTGCACACACAGTCCACAAGTCTACGGTGGAATTCCCGTCCAGCGGCAATCTCAAGGACCCTGCGACGTATGTCGATGGTCATAACAGACTTATGCCAGAAACCCGGGTTTAATGAACCCGGGTTCAAAGCCAGGCTCTAACCCTGGGTTTAAATCCAAATTTAAAGCCCAGGTTTTAACCCTTTTTTTGACGTGGGCGGGCCTTGTCGACTACGGCTGTAGCACTCGGTCCCTACAAACAAGACAAACCAACAAACAAACAAAGACAGCGGTGAAACAGGGCGGTTCGTTAAAGAGAGGCAAAAGGCTAGCTGCGGCGCACAGGCTTTGCCGGTGTTGGCCGTTCAGCACGAGCTACGGGGCCTTAGCGACCGATCTACAACAGCAAAAGGCCGTCACCCACTTTTTTTTGGCGTATGCGGGCCTCGTCGACTACGGCTGTAGCACTCGGTCCCTACAAACAAACAAACCAACAAACAAACGAAAACAGCGGTGAAACCAGATACCTAACTAAAGAGGGCGAAACTAGCTGCGGCGCACAGGCTTTGCCGGTGTTTGCCGTTCAGCACCAGCTACAGGTCCTCAGCGACCGTTCCACAACAACAGTGGGCCGTCGCCCAAAGCTGTCCAAGACCATCAGTGGAGCCCAAGTCAAGGCTCCGGCCGCCATTCTAGTTCCGTCGAACAACGGTCGGCCCCGAGGTCCTGTTGTGTCCCGATCGTGCACGGAAAAATCCACAAGTCCAGAAGCCCAGGGCCAGCGGCAACGGCAAGACCCGTCGACGTATGTCGAAAGGTTGGACACTGTGGCCGCCCAATGAGTCCAAAGTCTGAAAGGGCCTCGCTCCTAGGTAGGGGGCCATTGATCGAACACGCGCTGCATGTCGTTGCCACTTCTCGGAAAATGGGATTCTCGCAGAAGGTACAGCAATTGATACTGGCCCTCATCATACAAGTCTTTGAGACCGTGGAAGCCGTACTGGAGGGTGTCTTGGTCTGGTTCATGAAGATGCGGCATAAGCTCAGTGGAGATGAATGGAAGCTGGATGCCAGGGCCAAGTCCACCCTGTTCCATGAAAGCCTGGGCCGCTGCACGCCACTCGTCTTGTCCCCAAGTGTGCCCGATTGGTTACCGTCTGGCAAAGCACCCTGATTGGATTCCTGTGCCACTAAGCGATGGATCAGAACTTGGGCCCGACAGTCCCATGCATCGAAGTGGGCATAGCGCCACAGGCGTGCAGGGAAGTAGAAGTCCATTTTCCGAGGGCCGCGTAACCAAAACACAACAACGGCACTGAGCTCCCAACCCCGGGTGATGGCAGTGCGGAGACGACACAATGCGGCGTGCAAAAGTCCAGCAGACTGGAGGAGAAGAGCGGGCTGCGCCCGCAATCCCAGGGAGGCATCATCTAGGGGAAGCAGGAGGCGAAAAGTGCCCTTACTTCCGCCTTGACTCTGAGTTCAACAAACTGCAGACCATTGTGCTCGACTGGTGCAACACGTACAAGCTGCAAGAGAGGAGCCGCCTCAGGCTCGTCGGTCAGGGCCCTGGCTAAATAGAACACAAGCTGCACAGGGAGCAACACACCACAATGGAGAAGGGGAGTGCCTTGCTGCGGATCTATGTGCGATCCGCCTGCAGCCGTGGGTCGCCGGGTGTTGGAGCCGGTGCCACGGTGGCGTTTGCCGGCCTCGGCGGGCCCTCAGGTGACTTGATACCCGCTTTGGCATTGGGAAGCGAGAACCGGAGTCCATCCAGTTCGTCCAATAGCAACCACCACCATATCTCCGGACGCGCCAACTCATACCACGATAGATCAAAAGCTCGACCTTCGGGCAGCCGTAGCACCGGGTCACAGAACTGAGCAAGGGCAATGGAAACTGCCAAAATGGGTGTGAGGCACACCCGGAAAGCCTCACTGGCCGTGCAATGTCGCAGCATGAGTGCGCGATCGGCAAAGTCTACCACACGCGCTCCGAAGTTCTGAGGGCTGATCTTCACTTCGCATGCCGGCAGCGAAAGGGGAAGCGGTAGGAGGGAGAGGCAATCCTCTCTGCTGGGGAGAAGATCCCGTAGAGCCGTTGCACTAGCAGGGCCCTCGATGAGCCGCTGTCGTCTGCCCGTGGCCTGAAAGTTGCGTAGGATCGCGTGTTGTTCTCCGAAGTCATCCTCCTCCTCAGGCGGGACACTCTTGCTGGTGATTGCATCAACCCCTGGCACCAGGCGGTCAGGCGGGATGTCAACGGCATCCAGCAATGTAGCCACACGCTGGCTCCATGCAGTGTCAGGCGCCTTGGGGACGGAGGCGGCGCAACTTTGGCTGCGGAGCTCGGCTGTCAGACCAGGATCCTCTTTAGAGGCACGCCGTCCTCCGGATCGGGTGATGCAAATCCATCGGTATCATAGAGAGCACGGGGCAAGCTGGTGGTGGCGGCCGGTGGGAGAAGAGCATCTGGCAGGCTAAATTTTTGCAGTAGCGTCGACACAAAGTGTTGGAGCCTCCCCAGCAACACCGTGTCAACTGTGTCAGAAGCAATGACATAAAGGTAGAACACACCAGGGACGGAGGCGACAATTGCAATGGCACCAGCCTCATGCCGCCGCTGTGGAAGTTTGGATGCCAACATTTAATGTGCGCTACGGCTACCTCTGTCATTCACCCCTGCAGCCTCGTTCTGACTCCGTCGCGTGTCAATCGTGATGTGTGCCCCGATCGAAGACCGATGATGCGGGGAACGGAAGGCAGCATAAGCTCTTGGGCGGCTTCAAGCCCATCCCCTTGTGTGCACGAAGGTGGTGGAAGCTAA